TTAATTATATGCTCAAAAAAATTAAATACAATATACGCTAGGACTTATTGTTTTATTTTTAAAATTTGTATTCAAATAATACTGTACAAATTATGGGTGCCATGTTGTAAAAAAAATAGCCATGTCATGCCCAATCAGCACCACATAAGCAAAGTTTAACGGGGCGGTGGCGATAGTCATGGAAAAGTGACATCATCCTTAATAGAAGGGCTAATTTGCTAGTTTTGGTAAGTAGAAGGGTTGATTTGCAACCACAAAATCAAAATAGAGGGGATGAATTACACCTTCTGCCCTCAAAGCTGGCGGATTGGATGGATGATGCCTTCCCGTTGGAGTTGCAGTCAAACTCTGCTTTCTTTTTTTTCTTTGGCTCTCGTGGGGGACTAATTCTCTTGAATTCAATAGCCCCGCAAGTACGTGTCCCTTAGTCACCTTCTTCCTTAACAAAATTCAAAACTCGTATACATTTATCTTTTTAGATTTTTCCAAGGCTTATTGGAAAAGGACTCCAACTTTTACTAAATTTTTAATTGAGGTCCTCAATGTTTATTGTGCTCAATCAATGTCTCAAACTCATGCAACTCTCAAATAAGGACCCAATTGGATGGAATCTTAACAATCTGTTTATTCTCACATGACATCCGTTGTAATCCGTTACACCCCCTCGATATGTGGCATGCCAACTGGACCCATAATGCTGATAATAAAAAACATTGTTCAACGTGGCATGTTATGATCCCACATGACTCCTTTTTCTCCTATCTTTCTTCTTCTTTCTCATTCTATGATTTGGGGGTGAAATCCCTAGAATTTTAAGTCTGCCTCTCTTTGTACAAGATCTTCTTCTCCACCCAACAACAGCCCACCCAATCCTTAGAACTTCTCTGCCTAATAGTTGACCTCTCTTTGTGCAAGATCTTCTTCTTCTTCACTCAACAACCAACATCTTCTCTGTGAAAGATCTTTTTCTTCTCTGCCCTATGGCTGGCCTCTATCCATGCAAAATCTTCGTCTCCTCTGCCTAACAGCTAGCCTTTCTTTGTGCAAGATCTTCTTTGTCTCTGCCCAACAACAACCCACCCAATCCCTAGAACTTTCCCAAGCAATCCCTAGTCCCATTCCACGAATTGGGGGTCGAAATCCCTAGAATTTTCACAACCAATCTTGTCCCCATTACTTTGATCTTGATCTTCTTCTTCTCTCCTTCAGTGTTGTACATTTCCTTTTAGCCTTTCTTTGTTGTTAACACCAGCCCACCCAACAGTCAATCCCTAGTCCCATTTCACGATTGAGGGGGTGAAATTCCTAGAACAGAAGCCCACCCAACAACAACACAAGGACCCACAGCCAATCTTGTCCTTATCACTTTAAATTTAATCTTCGTAGTAATGTTCGTTTAGGTTTGATTGTTGCAAAGAAAGGAAATAGAAAATCCTAGAAATTACATATCCGATTGAGGATTCAAGTCTACGTCAAGAACAAAGTGCACATGCTCTTTTTTTCCTTTAATTGCTGCTAATTTTCTTCTATATAGTGTTGTCTAGTGCTAATTGTTTGTTTGATTTGGAATAAGTGATATGTTTGAAAATCTTACGGGGGAAATGGTCATGATTGTTTTAGTGTAAATGGCTTCCTTTGTGATGTTATAGGGTAATGGTTATGATTGTTTTAGGTAAATGGTGATTCTTTGTTTGTATATTAGCCATTATAGAAATGGCCATTTGATTGTAATCCCTTTAGCAACAGCAATGAAAATTATGTCTATTGTCATCTATGTCTATTGTTATCTTGATATAGAACACATTATTGGTATGTTGGAAATAGACAAAGGTAAGAGAAACTCTACCAAAATGACGAAGGAAAATAGGGGGAAAGAAACTTTGAATATATTGAAACTACGACTTTAAATAGAAAAGAAGACATGTACGAAAACTCCAGACCATGCATACTCCAAACTTCAACTAACATATTTTTTATGGTAAAGCTCAACTAAAATGCACATGTAACACTTTCATTTTCATTTAAATATTCAAATTGCACAAAACTAAGTTTGCTTTGTTTGTACAAGACAAACTCCAAACTAGATAGAAGATGCTCAAAAATTGCCCAAAATCAAGTTTAGGTACACATCAAATGAAGTCTAATTTCCTGCCATAACTTAGCTTTCCAACTATGAGACCATAAATGGAAGTGAAAGATTTAGTAGTATTAGTTTTGTTTTTTAATCATGCAAATGGCATGAGTATTAATGTTTAATAACTTCTTTTTTTTTGTTATCAACAGAAAACATGTAGAGAATTTTTTTTTTTAGTATTAACCCTTAGTGTTCACAAATTACAATAATCTAGAGTTTTCTCAGTATTTATTACTCCATTTATAAGATTTGAAATTAAGATTTTACGTAAAAAAAATTAAATTTTTTTCACTTAAACTAATAAGTCGTTAGTAACATATAGAGATTAAACTAAAGAATATTAATATTCCATTTTATTCAATGTATTTTTTCTTTTTTATACATTAGATAACAAGTTATGCAATAGAAGTAGTTATTATCCTTTAATTTAAACTTAAAATTTTATCATAAAAATTCAAATTCCTAATTACTTAAATGTTTCTTAAATTAAACTTCATTCTTCGTATTTAGATATTTAAATTAAAAAAAAAAAACTTTCTTTTTTTTTTTCTTATGATTCCCCCAATTTGGAGAAGGAAAATTCAAATTTGAGTGAGGCGAAAGGCAAGCTCTATTTTTTGACAAATTCCCTTTTTTTTTTTTTTTAAACAGGGGAAATTTGGAAAAAAAGGGGTAAGAGTGTTATTTCAGCTTCAACTTGACTAAAGCCAAGAGTCAAGTGCACTCTGATTAACGCAGCCGAAGCTGCGAGTGCAATGACAAACTGATATTGATAGACCAAAATATTTGACTTTGGCGAACCGGACCTTTAGCTTAAATGGACGACCCGTGCCTTAAATGTTTGGATGAGATGGTCGGAGTTTTGAGTTCTATTACCATCGTGAACTCCATTAAAAAGCGGTTTACTGGCTGCTTGCCTCATTTGAGGGGGTGAGATATTCACCTGGCCTGAGAATCAGTTACTAATAATTAACTCATACTAATTTCTTAATTATTACTTTTATCAAAAAATAAAATAAAATAAAATAAATAAAATATTCGACTTTGGTAAAAAAAAAAAAAGGGAAAACGTGTCAGAATTCCCAAGGCAAGGCATGAGTTAGTTGGAATTGGTCACCGTCACTTTTTATTTATTTATTTATTT